AGCAAGCTTCTTTTAAAGGAGCTTCGTAAGTTCTTACTTAAGTTTTTTAATCAGCAACTTCTTTAATTTCATTGTTGCAAAAGAAAGAGTTGTACAGCTGAGATAGGAGGTGAATTGAAGTCACTGAGCTTAAATGACTAGCTAAAGGTGGAGAGGCTTCAGGGCAAGCTGACTTGTTTCCTAGGACCTCTTTGTATGGAAGTGTACAGGGTTGAAGAGAGAGGCTATGTAGACTGCCTGCCTCATGTTTTGTCAACATGGCAGTTGATGCTAAAACAGCTTATCTAAACTATTTGGCAAAAATGGCCTTTTCAGAAATCGACTTTGTGTGCTGGATGTTTGAAGAAAATGGGGAAAACCTCCTTACTTTTCCAGAAGTTACAATGTCTTTTTTTGTGGAAGATCTGTGATATATCTTGGTAGAAGTGACTACAGTTGGTACAGACAGGACCTTTTGACTTTCAGTGCTTCCCTCACAAGATTCTAGATGGATATGAAGAGAGGATTTTTATAAAATGCTGTGATTTATTTTTTAAATAGTTTGAAGATACCTAGAAATTAATTTCTTTTTTAGCAGATTTTTCATTTCCCATCTCAAATATTTGAAAGATAATGGTGATCATTATGTCAGAGACCAAATATTTTCCACTTCTATGCAAGGGAGGGGTGAGACAGCTAAAATTTCCCTAGTGTGGCTTTCAACCGAAGGCTGAAAGTAATAAAAAAAAAAGGGAAGAAACTCCAAGATGAATCATAGAAGTGGGTGTTTCCATAGAGTGAGCTTTCATAATAGGTCCACCAATCTATCACTCGCAAACAAAGACTAGTAAATGACAGCCTAAGGACTGGCAGAGAGCAGTCCTAGATACACAGTACTGCTTCCTAACACGGATTGTTTCTGTATCTGAGCCGCTTCCTTTGTAAGCATGACAGAAGTGAGTATGCCAGCAGCAGTGATAGTAGTTGTTCTTAAGTTTCCTTGTTTATATTTTAAATAATTTTTGAATTCACAGTTATTCAGATCAGACTATAATAAAACTATCTTTTTGTTAAAATAAGGTCTTACTTTCAGGGAAGGACAAATTAAATGTATTATAAATTGTTTATATGGTGTTAAATAACAGAAAATAGACATATGCATGTGGAATTGTGCCAGTGCAACAAAATGGTGAAATCAGTTTATATGCAGATAAGATATATTGTTTTCCAGCTAAGAAAGAGGGAAAGAAATTAAGAGCAAAACTTGTATAGTTGTCGTTTACCAAAAAAAAAAAAAAAAGATTATTTTGTTACTGTTAAAAAAAAAATATCAAGTCTCTTTGATTTAATTTCCAGTTGGGAAAGAACATATTATGCTTGTAGTGTAAATACATACTTGTTTGTAAGAGAATGTAAATTTGGTCCTCTTACAGTTGGTTTAAATGGTTTACTTCTGGAAGATAATTTGCTGAAATAAAACCAAAGGAGAAGTTAACAGTAAATTTGAAAACCTAAACAACCTCCTTTCTCTTCATCATACTTTCAAAGCTCTTTCCAGTTCTGAGAGAACCTATGGGTGATCATTCTTACGAGATTTTCACTGGCAAAGGGTTTAGGAGTATTTACTAGAGGTGGAAAAACAGGCATATTTAACAAAAGCCAAAACCATTCTTGTGACATTATGCTTAAAGAAATGGTGACAACTTGTGATAAAGAATTGAGATCTTTAAACTTGGATCAACAGAATTATGCTGTTCTTTGTGTGGTGCCAAAACACCACAGTGTCATAAATTTGAAAAAGTGAGTCTTACTGCAGATATCGTAAAGTGTTCCTTAGTGCAGTAGTATTTTGTAAGATGAGGGTGCAGTGGGTTGTTAACTTTTTAATCTTCTTTTATAATAATTTTTATATCCTTTGTTTTAGTTTTGTTAAGGTACAAGATTATACATGAGACCTAATTATCATCCATTCCAAATTAAGATCATTAATAAGTCTATGTTGGCAAGTACTTCGGTTGTAAATATACTGCTCTTAGTGCTATGTGAGAGAAAATCACCTCAGATGAAATGAGAGTACTATAATAATAATAATAATGATATCTAAGTATTTAGAGGGATACTCTTTGAATGGATAGTATTAAAGAACAACCCCATCTCAGTCTAATCTAAACCTAATAAACACTGGAATTTCCATTCTAATGAAAGGAAACATTTTTTATTCCATATTGCGTAAAGGACTTAGAATCTGATGGTTCTTCATTAAAAAATAGCATTGGTTGACTCAAAGCTTGGCCTTTTAGGTTTTTTTAGATAAGCGATTAGCAGTTTCTTTAATTAACTGGATTTCCGAAGCAAACTAGGCTTTTGACCAGCCCTCTCTGCATGCATGTTTGTGTTTTCATGTATGTGCATCACAAAAAGAGCATAAACAAGTGAGAGTCATTACATCTGGCACCGTTCGGAGTAATTTTGAGACCATTAATGTTACTACTGGCCAAGCTAGCCACCTTTGCTACGTGCTTTTCTTGCTTACTTAAGAACCACCCAGTTGTAGTGGAAAATCTTGATGTTCATCAAAAGAAATTTTCACTCAGACTGTGCTTCATATGATATGGGAACTAGGACTGTATTTTAGAATATTCTCTTTTTTTCTTCTAAACCATTTTTTCCCATTGTACAGTTAATGATGGGAATAATTCCCTCTTAGCCACTCTCGAGAGGCCACAAGAGAATTGAACAGAATATGAAAGATCTTTATCCCCAAAGCAAACAAAGAGTGCAAGTAAATCAAATTTCAGTCTAAAATTTTTACCCAGTATCGCTCATTTGTAAATGTACATATTCTTAAAATACCTACCTTTAGTAGGTAGGTAGGTAGGTACTTTCCACTGTCACTGGAAAGGCAGATTGAAGTTCGTTGTATTCTGGATATATACCTGCCATCTCCACCAGTATGTAAATGTATAACTAAAGAGCACAAATTAGAGTGCAGTCTTGAAGAATGTTACTGTTTGGCCTCTTTAAGGTAATTAGATATTACTGTGTAAATGTTTCATGGATTAATAATCTTTGTTTCACTTTGAGACAATTTTAGGGTTTTCTTGTTGTTATTGGGCCAATAGGGGACCTGTTTTAGAGATCCTTTGATATTTTTATGGTTTTGATTATCAAATTTTACCACTCTTCCAGAGAAATACTCTGATAGGCAACAGAAAACCACCATTTAATGTAGGGAAACAGTCAAGGAAGAAAGCTTTACCAGTGATGTATCAGGGGCTATGATTTTCAGCATCTTATGAGCTAAAAATGAAGGGATACAAAAACTCAGACTGAATAAGCTTTGATTTATGTGCACGCTGGTGTTTCTTTCATTTTTCTTTAGTGGTTTATAATGCAGAGTAAAATGTCCATACTGTCTTTTAGGAAACAAAAAAAAGCGCAGATCAGTTTTTCTTTTTAAAGACAGTTTTAATATGTAAGATTTTGGGTTTATGTTTATTATATTTGTTTTACATCACTAAATTAATATATCCATGCATATCAGCATTTCTATTATTATTCTCTTGATTTTAGTATCTACCAAACTTCATTCTGTGTTTAAAGTTTTTTTTTAGGAAGAAAAATAAATAAATAATATAATAAACAATGTCAGAGATGCTCTTTTTGTAGCTACACTAGACACAACTTTCCCCCAAGACAGATTCTAATACTTATTTTAGTACCTAGATTTGGCATTACTGTACATCAAGGGAGATACACTGCTCTACATTAAGGGAGTATTTTTCCTATTATTTGCTGTTTTCGTAGACCACAGTAAATTGAATAAGAGACACTGTGGTCTCTTGGAGAGATGGTAATCTGATTTTTAAAAGGACTTTGAATCCAAGTGTATTTGATAATGTCCTGTATATAAATAATTCATATACTTGGTTGAGAGCTTATGGTGTTTTGAGGAAAATGTTGTCTTCTTTTAATGCTTGCTCACAGACTGAAGGAGCGGAAGAGACATGAGAGGAGATGAAAAAGGTGCATGAAAGAGATATAAATTTATTCTTAGTTACAATAGTGACCAACACCCCACCCCCCCAAATGTTATGCTGCTTTTTTTTTTTTTTTTTTTTTTTTTTTTTTTTTTTTAAGTGAGACTTGCAGCTTTCTGAAAGTAGGACTCCAGCTGATTACTTTGTTAATCCAATCATCTCTAGTTACCTGCATTTATATCTAGGTCTTAGCTTACCACTTTATCTAAAATTTGCATTGCTGTAGATGCAATTCCTTTTTAAGAACTATTTTTCAAAGGCTCAGTTCAGCCCTTCACAGGTCACTTGAATCTTCTGGTTTGTCAGACCGCTCACTAGAATTCCTTGTACAGTTTTTCTACTGGTATAGGACAAGAATTGTGAGTGTCTATCCTGACTTTCTGACAAAATGCAGTAATATCTAGCCTTGATTATGGAATTTTCAGCACAGTAGGTACAGTAAACAGAGCACAAAATGATGGTCATATAGAACCTTCGTGCATCTTGTTATTGACCTTTACATGTCTAGCTGCCAGCTTGCAGCAAACTTAACTTGTTGGTTCTGATAGTAACTTGCCCTTACTGAAAGAAGCTGAAATATTTGTGTTAAATTTTGTGCATACTGGAACAGTTTTCCTGCATACAGTTTTCCTGCAGTAGAAGGCTGTAAAGACATGTTTCTAGTGAAAGTGGTGGGGTTACCCTTTTCTATTTTATTATCTTTAAATATTACTAAGATACTCCATTAATTCCAGCCGTAAGTTTATTGTGTGGGAAGTGTAATTTTGTGTGTGTGTGTGTGTGTGTGTAGAGTAGCTGGGGGAGGGAAAGAGTTTAATTTGTGATTAAGGAGGCAACATAATTATATGCTTTATAATGTTCGATTTTTACACAGAAATGTGAATGACTAGGGACCTCTACTGACTTGTAAACACAATCATTGTAGTTGAGTATTTTGCAGAATTTGTCAAAAGCTAATTTTATTTTTTTTTCCCCCCAAAGGAACTTCATGTTGGTGTTGTTTATGCCAGAACATAGTAAGCAAGGCAAATTAACTCCAGCCTCGTGTAAACTCTTAATTGGCCAACACAATGCAACTGAGCATGAATTCCAGGTGGCTTTGGAAATGAAAGAGAACTGAGCTCTCTGGCTGGAAGCTGAACGTGATGACAGCCTGGTCTATGGTAGGGAAGCTGAAAATGGAGAAGAGGCACTCCAGAGAAGACAGAAATGTGGAACAAGATGCTGGGGAATGCAGTGCTGAATCTGAGGAATGGACGAGCTCAGAAAGTGAACCTGAGCAACCATACTTGAGAAGCAGCTGTAGCAACACTCAGTGGAGAGAAAAGGAGGTTTCCACTAAACCACATCGGCCACTCTGTCGGTCCCCTTGTTTGGATCGCCCAAGTTTTTCACAGAGCAGTATCACACAAGACGTGAAGCTAGACGAATGCAAAACTAATTTGGACAAGGAATACCAAGCTAAAATGGATTTTGCTTTAAAGCTTGGGTACGCAGGAGATCAGATCCAGGCTGTACTGAATAAATTGGGAGCAGATGCACTCATCAATGATGTTCTGGCAGAGCTTGTGAGACTTGGCAACAAAAGTGAATCAGAGGGACAAAGCAGTGCCAGCAGTACCACTAGTACTCTGGTGCCAAGAGGCCCTTGCCCAAAGGAAATAGCAAGCCCTGAATTGTCGCTTGAAGACGAAGTTGTTGATAACAGTGATAACTTAAGGCCAATTGTCATTGATGGAAGCAACGTGGCTATGAGGTGGGTCTCTCTGTCAAGACATTTGAAAAGGATAAATCACTAAAATACAAGAAAAATCAGTACTGATGGCACAGTAATTCTAAGTCATGTAGTGTATTTACACTGATAATACATCCATTTTTATGCACTCTTTAGTCCAGGCTTTTAATTATGCCCTTACTCCTTTATATATAATCTATGTTCTAATTCACCTCCCCACTTTTCAAACCAAGTTCTCCCCTCACATCTTTTGTTTGAGCAATCTAGCTGTAGTATGCTTTTGTGTGGATGGGTTTAATTTTTTTGTCCTTGAACAATGTTGAAAATTATTTTTCTTGAATGCCCAGAGGCAACCAGAAAGGGGAGGAAAACCTGGTTCTTTCCAAAATGCCATGCAGTGTATGCTGATGATAAGTAGTGGACTTGAGGGTATTTGAGCTCCTGCTGATCAAGCCTGCTCAGAATTTAAAGCAATTCAGCTGTGTCAGGACAGGGATAGGCATGAGCTGAACTTGCTGACTCACAGCTGTGGTGCTTGTAGTTTCAGACATGTGCACTTGTCTGCTTGGGACAACACTAGCTCAAGAGTTATCTGTCCTGTGCCACTTCTGAGCATGTCTGTAGAGTACACAGTTCAGCTAGCCAATGGTTTGTTTATAATTGAGAAAATATGATTTTCTATGAGGGAGTTCTTTAAACAGTCTGAGTGTTGAGTGGATACAAAGATTTCTTCAGGTAGTGTTTGCACACTAGATTTCCTTTGGTATCAGCTTTCTGCTCTGAAAGAAATTTGTGACCTGAATGATTTTTTTTTTCAATGTATTAAGAAAATTCAGATTTTTATAGGTGTATTGAGGACTCTGAATTTTGAAATACATAAACCCACCCAAATCCTGTAAGAATCTTATATACAGGATTTTCCAGTGCCGAGTTGTGGTTACATCAATCTAAAAGCTGTTTCTCTAAAGCAACATCATCAATACTGGATTTAACTTTTTTCTTTTGTTTTTTTTTCTGTGCCTGTTCAATTTGCAGTCTCTGTACTGCTGGAGTTACTTCTGAGTGTAATGTGGTAGCAACTGGAGAAAAGTGTGTGTGTGTACTCTTACTGTTGCATAGCTTAGAACTGATGCTCTATTTATATAATTGCAGAATATCTCAAGGTGGAAGGGACCCCTAAGGATCATTGAGTTCAACTCATAAAATGCATATGCATTTGAAAATTTTAAAGGATATTAAAATCTGAAAAATCTGAAATGTACAAAAATCTAAAGAAAAATGCTTTAGTAACATTGTGACTTCTGTATTCGTTATGTTGAACAGATTTGGATTTGGATTACACTGGTGATCCACAGGCCTTAGTTTTACAGATGGTCTTAGATCTGTCTGCCTTTGGTCTCTTTCAGTGTTGCTTTATGTAGCATTTTGAGCCAGGGAAGAGCATGCACCTTGCAGTAATCTGTGAAGTTGTTCAATAATAACAACAACACTACTGAAGTAAAATTTTGAATGATGATCCATAGAATAATGCTAAAGACAAGTTTAGTAAGATGCAAATCTCTTAATTATGCAGCATCTGCTCTACAGACTGAGAACATCTGAAAAGTGCAAGGGTTATACACTTCTCATACTTAAAAATGCTGCAGTTATTGATGATACAAATGAAGGCCTTGCCTACATGGTAAAAGGTGTATGTTGTAAGTGAAAGGTGCTATATATATGGAAAATGGAGTCATTTCAATTTTCAGTGTTTAAATTTTCTTGAAGAGTTTTGGGGGATACTACACGGAGCTAATGGCTTAGAACAGGATGGCGCAGCAGCTGGATGCCACTTTGTGGACAGTCGGATGCCAGCTGCTCTGAGTCATGGCAGGAGTACATCGCAGCACTGTGAAGCCTCCTTGATTACAGCTGGCTGCACAGACTGCCCCAGCGCTCCAGGGCTGCTATAGCAGACCCCTCTCCTGTGTTTTTGCCCAGCACTGCTGCCCTTGTGTTTTTTTTCTAGTAGGGAGCGTCCCTGGGGTGTGTGGCCAGGAGGCCCTGCAGTGTCCTGTAACCCTCCCTGACCTGGCCATTCACCCCCTCTTCTGTGGTGAGGATTCCACTCCTCAGTACAAATGCTGAGGTGATTCAGTTAGCACCTTCTGCAATGGATGGAATGATTTGGAGAATTTAATAGATTTTCTTGAAAAATATAGAAGTCTCTTTAGAAATAGTGACTGGTAGGTGCCAAACTAATGGGGCGGGCAGCATTACTTATATCACAGCTGATGAAAAATTGCAGCTGTGTTGAGAAAGGGGGGGGGAAAACTGAATCAACAAATTTTGAAGAGTCTGTATCAAGGAGCATGGCAATGGCCTACTAGTCTACCCTTTTCAAATGGAATTTTGGAAGCAGTTCAGTTGCTAGCCACACCGAAATGTAACAAAAGTTGGTTTTCATTTTTTTGGGGGGGGGGGTTAATAAGAAGGGCAGACCATTTTTTCACCTCAAGTAGTTACAATATTAACTGAAAAGAACCAGAACTGTTAGGTTTTTATTATTCAGTTATGTGGTGTAGCAGTAATATATGCACTCAGTTTTTCAGACAGAGAAAATGTTGGCTTGAGTCTAAATATGAAATCCAGCCATATTGCAAAGATCTGTGTCTCTCTCTTACCTGTGTAGTTGAACTACTGAAGTTATTATAACTGAATCTTTTTCTCCTACGTATGTCCTTATTTATTATTCAGGAGTTCCTAAACTACTTCCTGAGAGGATTTAAAACCTGATTCTTTCGTTTACTCTATGTTTAGCAAATCAAGATAGGTACACCCATGAGGTAGACTAAGATACATAATTAAGGTTCTCCTTCTCTAAGGAATTTTTTTTTTCCTTTGCAGAAATTTCTTGGGCCATTTAAAAAGTTATCTGAATTGTGTGCTGGTTTATAGACTCCTCTGTGTTTCAGCAAACAAATTTTTGATGGGGGTGGGGCTTATACGACTTTGAGAGTTCTTTCTTTCCCTTAAAGAGTCTTAATAAATAATAATAAATATAATAAAAATGCAGCACATAAGTATTAGAGAAATACATTCTTTAATCTAGATGTTTAAAAGCACCTGTCACCCATGACAGACAGCACTGTTAGTTCATTCCTTTTTTCATTATCAATAACATTTTATGGTAATATTTAAGGTAAGCTCAGTTTGTTGGGGAAAGTGGTATTTTTCGTTAGCTCAGCTTATCAAATGAAGAAGTGGAAAAACTTCATGTTTACTTGGTTTTGATTTTGGGATAGTGAAATTTCACTATCTCTACAGTTTTAAGTAGCACTGTCGCTGTAATCTGATGGCTGAATAGTTCTAGGCAATTGTCTTTTTCCAGTTATGCAAACTGGTCTAATAAAAAGATTTATATATCTTTACAGACTTTGTCTTCTTAGACCATGGCAGCTTTGGAAGGAAAAAAAAACCAAACACCACCACAAACAAAAACTAAAATATAAATTTTGTTCTTGCTGTTTCTAAAACTTTTGCATGTTCTTCAGCCATGGGAATAAAGAAGGATTTTCCTGTCGGGGAATTCAACTAGCTGTTGATTGGTTCCTGGAAAAAGGACATAAAGATATCACTGTGTTTGTACCTGCATGGAGAAAAGAACAGTCTCGACCTGATGCACCAATTACAGGTAACAGATATTCTTTGACCCCTTGGTTAAAAAGAAAAAGAAGTATTGCACCAAGACACAACCATGTCATCTTTCTGATGGGTGCTACATACTGGGCTGTTGATGTGAGGTTGCATGTTCACTTGTGAACACAACAATTCCACTAGTGAGGAAACAAGCATTTAAGTATCTGCACCTGTAAACAGTGCTGGTTTTTTGTAACATTACACTGTCAACAGTTCTTAGAATTAGTTGTCTTAACTTTCCCATTAGCAAACATTGTCAAGCATGTTGCAATGGATTCTTAGTTGCTGTGCAAGTATAAAATAAGTAGTGTCAAGGCCAGAGACTCATTTAGTGTAGGATTATCCTGAACACTGAAGAGGCAGCATGTTCTCTGACCTATAGTCAGTACTTTAGTTTTAGTCCAGGCTAACAAGGTGGCTACTGTAATAGAGTAACAGCTGAGTTCTTGACATGTTCAGAAAGGTTGAGTAAAGGTACTTGGTTGTTGGCAGAGGAGAAGAGTGGCTATGAAGCTTAAATACTGAGTATTTACCCAGTGCTTTGAAACCTCAGAAGTAAAATGGCTTTCTGCATTTCAGTATTTTTTCATGATAATGGGGACTGTATATGAACATAATGACAAAATACTTTGTCAGAAAAGAGGGCAAGAAGTTTCATATTTCAAAGGCTGCATTTTTTTCTTTTAAAACTGCTCAACTAAAATTATTTTACAGATCAAGAAATCTTACGTAAATTGGAGAAAGAAAAGATTCTTGTTTTCACTCCATCTCGAAGAGTTCAGGGAAGAAGAGTAGTTTGCTATGATGATCGATTCATAGTAAAACTTGCTTTTGACTCAGATGGCATCATTGTATCAAACGACAACTATCGGGATCTTCAAAATGAAAAACCAGAATGGAAGAAGTTCATAGAGGAGCGGCTGCTGATGTATTCTTTTGTGAATGACAAGTATGGGTTTTTTCCTTCAAAAGTAAGGGAATTTGTTAACTCAGAATCCTCAGTAAAAAAACTGAAATTCACAATTTCATTTCTCTCCCCTTAGATTTATGCCTCCTGATGATCCTTTAGGACGCCATGGTCCAAGCCTTGAAAATTTCTTAAGGAAAAGGCCAGTTATTCCTGAACATAAGAAACAACCGTGTCCTTATGGTAAGTGCTTGTCAGCTTGATTTGTTGTATCCAAAGGTAGGTGAAGCAAGCAATTAATTAACATTTTGTCATTATTGGGGGGGGGGAGGGGAAGAGCAGCCATTTTTTGTGTTGCCATCCAAGCACTATAGCCCATTTTTATACCCTTCATACACATACTAAAAAAAGAATGTATCAGAGAATTAAGGATTACCAGATTATCTTGTGGATAACACAGCTTTTGCTATTTTCTTGTGATTTGTCTTCCGGGAAGGAGGTTCATAACTATACAAAATGTTAGAGCTGTTTACATAGCATTGAGCATGTTGTCAATACTGAAATCATGAGCCAGTAGGAAGAGAAGTGCTGTGTCTTGCCCTTGGTGCAGTGATATATGTTGATACAGGTGGTAGAGTCTGTGGCTGCCTGTATATACTCTATATATATATATATATATATATATGTATATATTTATTTATTTATTTATTTAATTCCTTAGGGGGCTAACATAGAAATATTATTACTGAGAAGTGGTGAAAGATAGATATAAAGAAAAAAAGATAGCAGCTGGTGGTGTTGATCATTTTTTGGTTTATTTAACCTGAAAATACTTTTCTTCCAGGTAAAAAGTGCACCTATGGGCACAAATGTAAATATTACCACCCAGAACGGGCAAACCAGCCTCAAAGGTCAGTAGCGGATGAGCTTCGAATAAGTGCCAAATTATCTGCTGTGAAAACTATGAGTGAGGGAGCCTTGGCCAAATGTGGCACAGGGCCATCCAGCTCCAAAGGAGAAATCAGTTCTGAAGTGAAACGCGTTGCCCCAAAACGTCAGTCAGATCCAAGCATTAGAGCAGTAGCTGTGGAGCCTGAGGAAAAGTTATCAGTAGCCCGGAAGTCCGAGGCCAGCTCTGTCCCGTCTCTGGTTTCTGCATTAAGTGTACCAACGCTCCCTCCACCAAAAAGCCATGCAGCTGGTGCATTAAATACTCGTTCTGCAAGCAGTCCGGTGCCAGGTTCCTCACAGTTCATGCATCAGAAATCCTCACTGGAACATATGTCCAGTGTGCAATATCCTCCTATACTAGTCACCAATAGCCATGGCACCTCAGTTAGCTATACCGACCAGTATCCCAAATATGAATCCTTGGGGGACCATGGCTATTATTCCTTACTCAGTGATTTCTCCAACTTGAGCATAAGTAGTATCCGTAACACAGATTATTATGGGGCTGATATGGACCAGGGGATGTATTCTAGAAACTCAAGCCCCTGTCCTGACAGTTGCTTAAGCCATACAAGTAATGATTCTTATTCCTCTTACAATGACTTGTATCTGGGTGTAGCAGATGCCAGTCCAGAAGACAATGTGAAGATGCACAGACTGCCATCGCAAAATCGTCTTCAGCCTTTTTCCCATGGTTACCATGAAGCCTTAAATAGAGTTCAGAGTTACGGACCCGAAGAGCCTAAGCAAGCCCTTCGCAAACAGTCAGTTTCCCACTTAGGCCTACATGCCCAGCATCCAGTTGTTGGAGCACGGTCCAGTTGTCCAGGAGAATACCCTGTGCCTCAAAATGTTCATCCGTCAACTGCACAACCAAGCCGTGCCTTGGTCATGACAAGAATGGACAGCATTTCTGACTCACGGCTTTATGAAAGTAACCCTACAAGGCAGAGAAGACCGCCTCTCTGCCGAGAGCAGCATGCTAGTTGGGATCCACTACCGTGTGCATCAGACTCCTACACCTACCACTCGTATCCACTGAGTAACAGCCTCATGCAGCCATGTTACGAGCCTGTAATGGTGAGAAGCATGCCTGAGAAGATGGAGCAGCTCTGGAGGAATCCCTGGATTGGGATATGTGGTGAGCCACGGGAACCTCATATCATCCCAGAACATCAGTATCAAACATACAAGAACCTCTGCAATATTTTCCCTCCAAGCATTGTCCTTTCTGTGATGGAAAAGAATCCCCACATGACAGATGCACAACAGCTGGCAGCTATGATTGTTGCCAAATTAAGAACAGGGCGTTAAAGCATTACAGCCTCTTTTGGATAAATGGAGCTATATAGTGTATAGGACCTGGAGGAAAACTTATGATGAAGGAGGAAGGGGCCAATCTATTGTAAATATTTTCTACTAAGATAGTAGAAAATTCTGTACACAGTAGCAATCATATATATATATATATGCGCTGAGGCACTATATAAGAGTTGATTGTATTGTAAATTTTAAGATTTTAAATATAGGGATTTTTAATAGTATTTTATAGGAAATGCATACCTTGCTGCATGGATAGCTCATTAAGAACTACAATATGTCACGTTCAGTGTCTCAAAGCTGTTACTACAAAGTTATTGTTAGCAATTATATTGCATGTATTAGCGTACACTTCCAATTTGCTTATAAATGCCTAATCGGCCTTTAAAAGTATGCTCTATACACACGCAGGTGACTTTCAGGGTTTCAGCTTTGTCATTTGACACTGCCTACTGGCATATTAAACACTGAAGGATAAGTAAACTTGACAAAAATTAAAATACTCAGTTTGTAAAAGGAAGAACTGATTTCAGCTTTTCAATTTCAATATTTTTGTTGGTACTTAAATTTCAGAACTGTTCCCCAAGAGTTTGAGTATCTATTACGTTGTCCAATACACTGGCTCAATCCAACAGAAGCCAAATACTTTTATTAAATTAGGACCAAAACACTAAGGAGTGTGAAGGCGTGAGCGCCGTTCAATAAACTAGAAGAAGTTTAACCGTAGCTTCTCTCTTCAGAATTGCCTCTCAGCTGGGCAGTGAACAGCTGCTGGCCCAGATGACTAGACAAGCTGCAAGTAAATTGTCAGTTTTATGTAAACTGGATTACTCGATCTGAAGCAGCACAAGCTGGATGTTAACATGGCAGTTCATCAGCAAGTAACTACAGCCCTTCCTCTGGGGGCGAGGATGGTGTTGGTGTGAGCCTAACGCGCAGGATGGCTGCACAAGATCAAGTCGAGGAGGGAGTGGAGGGGAAAGGCTGCTTCTTGAACAGAGATGCTACGGTTTGGGTTTGTGGCAAAGCTGGCCCGGTTTTTGCTCTTCAGATCCACGCAAAGGTGTGCATTTGCCTCATGAAGGCTTTTAGAGTTCCTGTTTCAACAGGTGAGATAATTTTGTGTGGCATTGTTTGCGCAACTGATACCTTGCTCAGGGTGGGAACTTTGTAGCTAAATGTCTCCGAAAGAGGCGTTTATTGTTTTTTAAGCTGCACTGACTGGACGCCCTTTTTTGAATCCACTGTATATTGCAACATTCCGAACCATTACTAACTCGATAAGTCTCGAGCTAGGACTTGTTGACTTCTACTGTAGTTTTTTTCATGAAAGTTGAGAAGGCCTGGTTTATGGCCTTTTGTTTCTTCATGAGAAGGTGTGACACTGCCTAAATGTTTCTTACTGTGAAACACACGGAACGTGAGGCTGCAGTCAGGGTTGTTTCTGGTGTTTTGATAATGGCTTGCATGCTGCTTTCTAGTTATCTGTTTGTCTGAGGAACAAAGTTATATAATTTCCTCCACTTGTGTTACTGTAATGGTTGGTTTGATTCAGAATATCTTGTGGGCTCTTTATCATGTACAAAATACGGTCCTGTCACATAAAAAAAAAAAAACCAAACCAAACCAACAACAAACCACAATTACAGGTGCAACTACAGTTAATTTACTGATATTTGATAGTTATATCATTTCAGACAGGATAAACATTCTTGTGTAGGATAGGTAACACAGATAATGACCATGTCATTATGCATTTAAAATTAATGAACTTGAAGATGATTCTGTATTTACTTGGTGTTTAAAAATAACAAGTTTTAATTAGCTGGCTATCACCTCTGTTAATGGGGGGGGAAAAAGATCTTCAGCCATTTTGTAATAGTTAGGGAAAATAGATTTAACTCTTGACCAGTTTTCAAAAACATTTCTTACTAACCAGCATTTTATATTTTTAATTTGCAATTAATTCTTATTCTCTTCTCTTGCATGGAATAAGCAGCTGAGAGCAATGCCTCAAATAACCAGAAATGACCTTTTGTTTGTTGATACAAATTGTATCTCTTTTTCTTGATTGTATAAAAACTGTGTATAAAAAAAAAAAAAAATCTCTAGATTAACTTCAGTATTACATTTTCACCACAATGTTTGTGACACCATGTGTCACAGGGAAGTAGCCCATGAATAATTATGGATCTTTTTTATTTAAAATGGGCACTCGTAGTTTATAGACAAACAAGGACAACTTTTCAAAACCAGTTTATTATGTGCACAGATACTGTGTGTACACCTCAAAGCATCACATGGTTATCTTCAGTCTATTTATGAAGCAGATACATTCTTGCACTAAACTTTATGTAAAAGTGTTGCTGTTAACTCATCTGCATGTGTTTAAAATGTAACAATATAATAGCTATAGACCCTGCTTTATTCTTAATGGATTAATTTATAAATTATTTAGGTATAAAATGAAGTTTATTGTACACTCATGTTTTCCATCTTGCATGGAATTAAATATTTGTATGTAGAAAAATGTCTGTTCCCTTTTTCTCCAATTATAAAGATAAGCTATTTTAAGAGAGGCTTAGTAGGTGTTTTTGATGTTTTCTAACATGGAAAACTGAGCAGAAATTTCTGTATGAAGTGTTGGGTGGTTTATGGAGATAACTCATTTTTGTAGGATTTGTCTAGTCATTTTAATTTTCACTAACTTTTGTCTTACTGATAGAACACTTCCTTTTTAAGCAACGGGAATGCTGCGCCCATGCAAACCCGGCATACTATTTCCCTAAGGCACTTTGAAGGCAAATTGTCCTTTTTTTAAGAAGCTATTAGCATCTATCATGCACAGAGTTACAGAACAGGCAGTGTAGCCTTGTGGAAATAATTTGCAAATTTTGTGCTTGTTTAGTCCTCATTAGAGGTAATAGAACTTTTGTATGTGATGTAGTCTTTCCTAATCAACTACTTTAAGTGATAATTCACTCATCCACATCTGTTCTCAGATATGTTTTACAAGCCAATTCAAAACACTGACATGTTCATCTTCAGCGCATAAGCTTATATTTCTTCTTACATGGAAGAGTCAATCTTATGAACACCTGATCATAACTGTCTATACTGTAAATATAAGACTTTGTATAAATGCTCTTTTTGAGAGCATGGTATTTAAATGTTTTTAAAACTGTAAGAGAACAGTTCTAGAAACTATATTTTAATAAAATCCATGAAATTACAATTCTAGAAGAGAAAAAAAGTGGGCAGGTTAAATCCTGGCCCCCTGCAATCAGCAGGAGTTAAGCAGTAGACGTTAGTGCTTTACTGGGGCCAGAGCATTCTCTGGGAGTTCCAATTTAATGATCTTTCATCTTTAGCTATATTGCTTTCACATAACTTGTCACTTAAAAGTATATAACAAATTCATGAATCAAAAAATCAAATGTTTTATGGGATGTCAGTCTAAGTTATTTAATGTTTTTTGTAAGAATTACATGTTAGTAAGATATTAAATTGTACATATAGATGATTTCACTATTGTTAGTCCTGTTGTTGTACTGAGCTGCAGTCGGTGGCTTTATTCATTTGTAGAATTAAACATTACTGTTTAATTGTTGTAAACTTTTATAAATCTCTTTGGGTTTTTTTGGTTGACCCAAATATAATGTAAGTCTTAATGACAAAATGAGTGAAAATGGATGTTAAACCAGTATGTGGTATTCGTAAATCTCTGTAGTAATAAGCGTGCACTGCTCTAGCTGCTGCTGCATGTAATTCATTCACTAGCATGAGTCTGTTTAGCTTTTGTAAAAATGCTTTAACTGTAAACTTAAAATAGAAGGTGTGGGTGTGGTTGCTTAGAACAAGCAGAAGGATCCTCATTAAAAAAACCCAAACAAAACAAAACCATCTATGTAGGTGAGTTCCCCCCTACATACTTTTAATGCCAGTTTGCCTCAAATTGTGGATTTTGGCATTTTTCAACTCAGAATGTGCAAAGAAATTGTCCAGATAATTCAGTTAAAAAACACTTGGCGACAGTATGTATACCAAACCACAAACAGGAACATTTCAAGGAATGCATTTTGACTACCGCAGTTTTTAAAACTCCATGCTAAAGAGAAGGAAATGCATAATTTCTGTGAGACTTTGCTCCACAGACTTGAAATATCAATTTGACTTGCCTGAAGCATTAGCACTGCAGGGCTCAGATCGCTGGATCTGTCACTGTTATTTCTGTGGCGAGTCCTCAGCTTTAGTACTCGTACACGCCCAGGGCCTGTCTGTGTGACACAGCCCTCACTAACTCTATTGCAACCTTTAAACTGGAAAAATACAAGTGCACCATCACTTCAGTTATTCTCATGCCAGTGGTGGGTTAGCTTTCGGAGAGCCATTATACAATAGCTATGATTTTGGTCTGTGGTATTTGAAGTTTGTAAATGTATTAAAAGAATGGAGAGAAGAATCTAAAAGAAATATAGGCTACTACATACCTGTTCCCCCCCACACTCTATGTAAAAGGTTTGCACAATTATTTAATAACATGAAACATGTTCTACTTTATATATATAAAAAAATTTGCTTATTTAATAAAACTGAGAGCCATTGGATTATTTGTTTCTAGCTTTTTATTTTGTAACTCTTTAGGCAAGAGCCCCCAAAAGATGTTTTGTCCAAAACAACTTGTAGTCTGTCCAAATTATTTCTCAGTAGTTTTAGCTGATTTACTGAAAAATACCCAGATTTTGAAATCATACATAATTTTCCATCTGTGCTTAAATCTGTGAAGGAACAGGAAAAAGTTTTACTTTTCTTTAACAAGCAGATGAAGAAGTCCTGCTGTCTTGTCATAACAACACCCTCTGTCAAGCTCTGTGTTACACAGATTTTCTTTTGCTATTTAAACACTCATTTCCCTTACTAGGGGGGAGGCGATAGTGTCATTTATTACCACTGCTTTAAACTGTTGGGGGTGGGGTGGGACGCACACACACTAAAGCGAACAAAAGGAAAATGATACACAAAGATCATGTCTGTCCAGATTTGCCTGAACATCTCACCATGTTTGCTCTCTTGAGGGCCAGGAACCAGGTGATTCAGAGGACAGCACAAACCAATCAAAACCAATAAAATATCTGTATTACTAAGGTGACTTTTCCTAATCCCAGGCCCTTTGTGCTTAATTTACATCCTCAAGTACATCACTCCTGAAAACAAGTACTAATTAGATTCCACAGGATAGTCTTACTGTTCAGGTTTTCTCCCCAAAACTGTAACCCCAGCTGAGTCCTTATCAGAGTAGCTGCCTTTGGGAATGAGAAAACAGAATATTAAAGACTTGAATAGCCAGGAGCAATTTATCCTAACTGGTTCCACTACTCTGTCCAATTACTTGAAAGAAATTCAACAAGTGGAGAAAGCCAAAAGGGGTCACAGGCCACAGAAGCCGTGGACCCAGGCCTGAACTTCCTCAGCAACTCCTGTTTGCGTGACTTACTCCACAGAGTCCCAGCTTCTACCTCCAATCCTTCCGTTAGCTTCCCCAGGCATTAAAAAAAAAAAAATGTCTGAAGACAATAATTTACAGGGAGAAAGCAGTCTCAACAAGTCCTGCCCAATGCAAAGGAAAAATCAAGTGATTTCGGGTTACATCAACATTGCGTCTCCTATCCCCACTCAGGATATGCTTCTAGCCAAGAAAGTAATTAGCCAAGTAAACTTTTACCAACGGGGGAAAAAAAAAAATAATCTCACATAGCACAGTATTTGGCCAGCATCACCCCTTTCCTTTTTGAACTGTTACGTCTGCACTGACAGACCTCAGAAGTACCAAATAGAATAGCTCTTTACTTACTTGCTTTGCAAGTCATTTGAACTGGCTGGCTTTAAATGTTAAGGTTATCTATGCATTTATTATGTATTACTCATAGTAACATTGTCATTTGCCAGGTACTTGGAAAAGTATCCACAAACTGTTACTCCTGTGAATTATTCAGATCAAAGACCAAGTTTCATAATCCTGAACAGAGCGATACATAATTGTCTACCTTTTACACTTTCATTGTTTTAGTAGAAGCTCTTTCTTCACTTTTTAAAAATCAAAGCATCTATGTTTCTTTTCTCCAGCCATTCCCAACTTCTCTTCCCCCCCCC